GTGTTTTTGCTTTTTTTTTTTTTTTTTTTTGCTCCAAAGAAACTTTTGAAGACCTAAAGACTAAGATTCAGTACTTCGTACAGTGATAACACAGTCATTGTATCTGGGAGACACTGAATACAAAACTTTCATCATGGCTGGAAAGAAATCTTCTCCTGCCAAGTTGGCTCAGGATAAGAAGGTGAGAGGATTCTAGTTATTCAGGCAGGATTGTTTTACTGACAGTTTACGGCTTCAAAGGCAAAGAGTGCGCCATCTCTTCCTCCCCAGCTGATCGCCTCCATTGAAGCTTTTCTTACCGAGTCTGGATTCACCAGTACCGGTAAGGCCTTTGCGAAAGAACAGGCCAGCAAATCCGTTAGCAAGTCTCCGTCCGACTCCAAGAATGCGCCCTCTTTGCTCGAAATCTTCCAAAACTGGGCAGATAACGGAAAGGCTACCGAAAAGTCTTCCGATTCTAGCTCATCAGAGAGCTCCAGCAGTTCCAGCAGCGATGAAGAAAGCTCCAGCAGTTCGGATGAGTCGAGCGACTCTGACGTTGAGATGAACGATGCGTCGAAAGCGCAGTCGAAGAAACAACCCAAGAGCTCCTCTTCCTCTTCTGACTCCGATAGCGATGCTGATGATGAGAGTGAGGAGGAGGCGGCAGCCCCTGCTCCTGCCAAACCTCAGGGTACGAAGCGGAAGGCCGAGTCTGATTCGTCGTCTTCTGAGTCCGAGTCTGAGTCCGACAAAGCCCCTAAGAATAAGAAGACAAAGATCGCTGCTAAGAAAGAGAGCTCGTCCTCTGACTCCTCTGACTCTTCTGACTCTTCGTCCTCGGCCAGCGACTCCAGCGACTCCAGCGACTCGGTATCCGATTCTAGCTCCGACTCTGATTCCTCTTCCGAATCTGAGGAAGACACCACCAAGAAGGCTCCTAAGGCGAACCAGAAGACTGCGAAAAAGACAACCGAGCCCTCCTCTGATTCCAGCTCTAGTGACTCTTCTTCCTCTTCCTCCGAGTCCGACTCCGATGAGGAAGATGCAAAGAACAACAAGACTTCATCATCCTCTCAGAGTTCCTCTGGCAGTGAAACAGTTCAAAACTCCGACTCGGGTGCCCAGAAGTCTACTAACATTTCGACACCCATGACCGGTTCGTCTAGTGCTAGCCCAGCCCCCGGAAATGGCTCGGCCCAGAAAAAGCACACTGGCGCCCGCCCTACTCCTCTGGCTCTTCTTAGCGAACAGCCTACCGACCACCTGCTTTCCAACGACTACGTCCCCTATGCTTATGCTGACAGAGCCTTTAAGGATCTCTCGGTCACTCGTGGCAAGGGCTTCACGAAAGAGAAGAACAAGAAGAAGCGCGGCTCTTACCGTGGTGGTCCCATCGATATTTCCGGAGGCAAGTCGTTCAAGTTCGAGGACTAAGTGAGGCCAGTTGGTTGAGTTGGGTTGTGCCGGCTGCCATCATGTTCAACATGCTATCCTTTTTCTAGTACGCTCTACAAAAGTTTAGACCCTTAGATCTAGCTTTGCATATTTAGATCTTTTTACCCATTTCTTTATTCACAACTACAAGCAAGGCGCTGATGGAGCTGGGACTTCTGTTTAATAATTCATGCAAACTATCACCAAAAAAAGTCTAAATTTTTTATCAATTGTTTTTCCTGTTAGAACCTAAAAAACCCATGACCCAATGGAATACTTCGCCATCTAGTAAATCTCATCATACCCAAATCGATCACCTTGCCTTGATAGCTAACGACTAAGCAACAAACCAGCAGCGCCGAGAAAATTTTTTTTTTTTTAAAAAAAAAAAAAAAAAAAAAACCACTCCGTGATCGGTATGCAAACACAGGAACAAACTATAATAAGCATAGGGGTCATCAAGCCATCCAACTCAATCCCGACGTCTCCAAGCAGCAAATCTTTCCATTGGGTTCCATCTCCGGTCCCAACCCGTCAGCTGCTCATTTCTGATATTACTCTCATCAATATACGCGAATCGCTTCTGCGTCCTCAATGGAGAAGTCGAAGTGGTGTCATGGGGCTCCGGTCGTTCGTAGCCAGACAAATCCAGAACGCGCTCAGGGTTGTAAGTCGTCCTATCCTCCTGGATTTCTAAGTCGATATCAATCATTTCCCGATACCAATCCCTGCATGAGCCAGTCAAGTCATCAGTAGACACGAAGTCCAATCGAACGACACCGTCAGTGATTCCGGCGTATACCGTGGGCGACAGAGGCGACGGTGAGCATAGGGAGTATATGGCGCCGCGGTAAGGAGTGGATTCACGTTGGCGCCTCCGAGGGGCATTTGGGTATAAAGGCGGTGCGTAGAATAGGAACATGGAAAAATCTTTACGGGGATACTTGATGCTCTCTACCGGGGGTGCAATCTCTCCTCCCGAGGCTTTTCGACGGGGCAAGTTGTGCTGGTATACGGAAGAGGCCCTAGAATCTGTGTAACTGTAGGTTTTTGGCATCCGGAGATCGAAAATCTTTACAACGGCGTCTGCGCCGGCTCCTGCGAGAAATCTGTCATGGCCAAAGGGGTGAAGGGAGTAGATTTGGTTTTGGTCGGTTGGGTCTTTATACGTGGACTCGGATGCCCGGTTTGAGCGAACATCGTGAAGTCTGCGCAATGGTCAGCTATATCAACAAGCGATGATAGGAGCAAAGAGATCGTACCTGATTCGACGATCTCCCCAAGCAGCGAGAAATGTACTACCAGGAGACCCCGTGGTAATCTGTCCGCATAGAGGTGCCATTGCATTGACGATGAAACTTGCAGTAGAGCCAAGCCGCACGTCCAGATCTAAGGAGCCCACGCTGATTTCACGTTCCAGCGCCAACCGTTCCGATGAAATGGAAGAGATAGCCAGCGCATCCTCAGAACGCCCTGTGCCTATAGCAAACAGGGTTGGAGACAGGAATTTAGAGCACTTGTTACGTGCTGCAAGCCTTGGTTCGATCACAATATGCCCAAAGGGTTCAACCACGTCGTCATCCTTGGTAGTACTGTAAAATGCGATTGTTCCGTTTTTGTCGTGTGCAGCCAGAATTGGATCTGTTCCTTCACTCAGATCGATATGTTGGAGCCCAGAGTTAGATGTCTGAAATCGCTGCACATAATCGTGTTTGTCCTCGTTAGGCTTGAGTGCCACATGGAGAAGCTCGCCGCGCATTCGACCAAAGATTACATGTTCCTTATCGTCCGCTTTGCAATAATGCCCCGGTCGCAGGATATGCAGACCACAGATGTCATCATGGCTGCTGACGACATCCAAATCATCGAAAATGGCCCATTGATGATTCTGGGCCTTGCCATGTTGTTTGATTTTCATGACAATCTCATGCCCGCCGCCCCAAGCGAGCACCTCCCTGCGGTCCTCCCATGTGCTCCCGTTCCAAATTTCATACGAATCAATTGCAGGGCGATATCCAAGGGTGGGTCTGTCGGTTCGCGTTGTGATCCCCAATTCAGCGCGAGTAGGGGGCTTAGCCACAAAGCGACTAACTACCGCATTTTTGTCCAAAGATCGAGAGCGAGAAGTGAGAGCTTGGGTGGCATCTTTCCAACATGAAGATGGTACAAAGCCAGGAAACCGGTGCTCAATAAACGCCCGGAAAACACGCCCATCCTCGGCAGATACAACACCATACAAACGCTTGCAGGTCTGCGCGATATGTACCAAGTCGCTGGCAGATGGTAGATAAGTTGCAATGAGATATATAATCTCCACGGGTAGTTTAGACAACATAGTAACGATCTAAACTGGTTTCTAAAGGCGACGAACGATGAAGAGGCCTAGTGGCGATTTCTTGACAGTACATGAGTATCCGAAACTGATTTGTAGATGTACACGACTCACATATGTACTCTAGTCTAAAGAATTAACGACATCATAATCTGTCTGCGAATGTATATATCTAAGGTCCTTTCCACGGCGATTTATGACATGCTGCAATCGACAATAACGCGAAGGCTGTTTGGTCTATCAGCCTGGGAACATAGTAGTGAGGCCATGGTGTGAGTCACTCGGGTACTCTTCAGACGGCAAAGGATTCATGGCAAAAATTTGCAGAGGAGATATTTTACACCCACACACATTAAGAAAGAAGATCTAGTGGTCGAAAATACAAGACGACGGTAGTGACTGAGATGTTGCGTTGTGGGAATGCCGGTCATTATGTCATTTCCAATCAGATTCTGCGCTTATCAGTCCGATTTATCAATAAATCTTATCTCCGCACTGCACTTTCTTCACCTTTCCTTATCAGGTCACTTTTAAATGTGGGGTGTTTGCAGGACTGGAGAAGCAATTCAACCAGAGAGACTCCACTTATTACTAAAGAGATACGAAGTGGTCTTCTTGACTCACTGGGGTACTCATCGGATACCGGTGTCATTATCGTGTCTTTTCCCTAAAGGATTGTCAACTTGACTCCTCTCGTCAAAAGTTTCTATATGCGGGGGAAAGCTTCTCCTAATGGTAGGTCCACCCTGTAGCAAGGGTCCGTCGGAGTCGACCGCTCTTTCGACCTGATAATGGCTGTCGGGCCTTGCAGTTAAATATAAGATATTCATTGCCTTCATCTTTGCTAGCAGTCGTCCCTCTCCTTTGTTCCACACAAGTCTCCTATGCTCTCTTTGTTACATCCACTGTCTGATCTTGATGCCAAAGTGAGCTGTTGCAAACATGTCTGGGTCGCCTGTAGTAACTGTATCGGCGATTGTCTTGACAATCACTTTGTTATATAAATGCATTGTGTATCCCATCTTCCTTTCTCCATTATCCAAGATCCCCAATGCGCACTGGACAGTGCCAATATCTCCTGCTTGGATGCTCTGGAAGCGTTTCCGGAGTCAAAACAACCGGACCATCCAGGCTGCCCATGAGAGACTTGGACCTATTGTGCGGCTTTCTCCATCCGAGATATCCATCAACTGTGTTGAAGGAGGTATCAAAACTGTCTACACAGGCGGATTCGAAAAGCATGAATGGTATCCACGGGTATTCGGATCCCTCGGGTAAGGTTATACTCTATCAAAAGGTGACTGTCTCGACTAGAGCTGATAAAGGACTTTGGCCCTATAAAGGACCGTTAGCATGTTTACTATGATTGGCAGCAAGCCCCATTCTGTTCGTAAAAGGATGTTGTCTAATATCTATAGCAAGTCATACTTGCAGTCCTCACTTCATATGCGTCTGATCTCGGAGTGTATTTTGTTCGATCGCCTCTTGCCAATAATCCAGGAAGCAGTCTCATCTAATGCGCCTATTGAGGTCCATGACCTCAACCAGGGACTCACCATAGACTTTGTATCAGCGTATCTCTTTGGCTTGGCGAATGGAACCAACTGGCTTCAGGATGCACCCTTCCGGCACAAGATGCTCCACTACTATCAGGGCAGGAAACCGTATGAGTTCTACCACCAAGAAGTCCCTAATCTTCTATCCTGGACTAAGTCCATTGGTATTCGTTTGATTCCTAAATGGTGCGATGAGGCCAATGAAGTGCTAGATGCTTGGTGTCTAGACCTCTGCGACAGAGCAGAACAATGTCTCCAATCAACCGAGCCCAGCGTCGAGCCTATGGCATACAAGCAGCTCCAGCAAGCAATGATCAAGCAGTCTTCACAAAAGGGGAACACAGAGGAGAGCCTGAAGCAACAGCGGCTCGACATTGCCTGCGAAATGTACGATCAGCTCACTGCCGGTTTTGAAACCAGCGCCGTCGCCCTCACTTACCTGTTCTGGGAGCTTTCTCGGCATCCGGACCTGCAAGAAGAGCTACGGAAAGAGCTCTTGACTCTAGAGCCAAAAATTCTGTTTCCCCGACCTAGTCCATCGAGGGGCCTACCTCAAGCAAAAGCAGTTGATTCATTACCTCTCCTGGAAGCCATAGTTACGGAAACGTTACGCCTCCATGCCCCAATCCCTGGGATACAGCCTCGTGTCACACCTCATCCATCCTGCACCTTAGCTGGTTACAGCGATATCCCTGCAAACATAAGAGTTAATGCGCAGGCATACTCGCTCCATCGCAACCCTGATGTGTATCCGGATCCTGAGACATGGCAGCCTAAGCGGTGGCTTAAGGGTGTTAACTCGGAATCTGACCTCGAAGAAAGAAGGCGGTGGTTCTGGGCCTTCGGAAGTGGTGGAAGGATGTGTGTTGGAAGCAATCTGGCCTTGCAAGGTAAGTTGACCATTGCTCCCTATATAGAGTTCCCCCAAGCTGACTTCTATACCTCTAGAAATCAAACTAGTAACGGCGGCCATCTACACCAACTACAGGACGTCCATCGTAAACGACGACGACATTGAAGCAATCGACGCCTATACGGTTAAGCCTCGCGGAGATAAACTGGTGCTGAAATTTGAAGCCGCGTAAATCGTAACCCAGCATTAACTTTCCACACACTACGGTGATTAGCTATGTCTTCTGAATGACTATGATTGAAATGTGTTTTTTCTTTGTAACATAGCACATGTAATGTACAGAAGGGGATGTTCGTAATACAAGCTCACATCCACCCGATTCAAACGAAAAGCCTTTAACTCCAGATACATAAAGATTTCTTTCCGAGCCCGTCAAGGCTCAATCCAGAGCCTCCACGCTTATCACCCATCCCGGGGCCCCAACAACCAATATAAAAACCTTTCTTGCTACCATCGAATAACTGGTATGATACGCGACGCTTCGGGATATCAACAAACATTGCAGCCAAAGGATTCTTAACCAAGAGTACCCTCCCTCTTCTTGGGACCGACAACCTTGGGGTACATTCTCATGAGATGGTAGTTGATAGTGTTCTTCTTGTTGCTCTTCGGTTTCTGTATTGCAAGGAGAAAATATCATTAGCACGGCTAATTTGAGGACCAGGAAGTTGACGAAGAGGCGTAGGAGAACAGCAAATCAAGATACGTACAGGTGCGTCCATGCATTGCCTCAATTGATGCTCAAGGGCCGCGCATCCCTCTGCGGTATATCCAGCCGATGCCCAGCAACCTATCAAGAAACCAAAGTTAGCAATTCATCGTAGTGGAAAAATTGTTGACGACCCATAAGTTGTCTGGAACACGGAAGCTCGACAATCGGACACTGCGAAAGTCCATCTGCAAAGTCCAGGCAACAAAGTGTGAAATCAGGAGCAAACATACTCAGCATCGATGACATGACTGTCACACAGGGGTTCTGTTCATGCTGATTCGGACGACGGACTCGAAGGTGAGGGATGGTCTGCAGACGGACCGGGTTGAGACGAGTCGTGGCACCTTTCGGGGGCATATTGACGGTGTTTTCGGTGCTCTCTGAACTTCTACCACTCAGTGGATCCAAATTAATTAATCGGATAGAGCGCAGTGCCACCAATAGCGCCGGTGCAGGTCAATGTATAGTCTGGGGCTCGGGTTCCAAAAGTTGTCGGAAAGCCTTCGGAGGTGCCAAGACATTTTCGGCAATTTTGTCCGCGGAAGTGGCTGACATAACACCCTATAGTCCTGTCCAGTTAACTATACATTTTTGGCCACCGTTGGAGATAAGAGCTACCTGCTACTGTCACTACACTCATTTAGTGTTATTTTTCTTTTAAAACTGGCGGCTATGAGCAAACGGCATGTGGGATCTTTCAAATTCAAGAGCATATCCTCATTATCTACAACAAAGAGTCCGAGATCGAGATGTTTCTCTACGATAAGCCAGCGACGAAATGCAGATTCGAAGGCGAACGAAGGCAACGAGACTACGCGATTACAGGATGAACCTAAGGAAGAAAGCCCTATGGCGCGAAGGCTATCGGAGATGACGGAACAAGCTGTGCTTGAAGGGGGTCGCTCGGCGCATAAAAACATAGAACACGCGGGGTTCTCAGATGATCTGAAGAGGCAGCTTGAAGAGAGAATCGCAGCAACAGCTTTCAAAAGTGACCATGCGACTGCCCATGCAATCGTCGATATGCCTGTATGTGACTATCTAATGATACTGGATATCCTAGACTAATATTTCATAGTCGAGTGCAGGCCAAGGAACTCAAGATATCGCCGCAGCTGAGGCATGGTCCGGGACGGAGAGCCTTCACGATGTCACACTGCGCATGCTGGATAGCTCGAAGAAGCCTATGCGCGTACCCTATAAAATCCCACAACCCAACCCCGTCGATATGCGAATCTCTCCCAAGTCTCAAAAATCGCCTGGCCTTCGCCTCGCCGAAGCCAAAGACCGCACATCTACATATTCCTTAAGTCAAAGCCCCGGGTTATCGGATGAAGAGCGTGAGGCGATGCGGCGAGAGATGCGAGAGAGGTTCACCCCTGGCGGTCGACCAATGCCGATGACGATCCAAGGGTTAGCGTCGCTTGCAAACGAACGGATAGAGGATGCGATGTCGCGCGGTCAATTCGAGCGAATAAAACGTGGAAAGGGTGTCAATACACAGACCGACCATAATGCAAATAGTGCATTTATCGATACAACCGAATATTTCATGAACAAAATGATTCAAAAACAAGAGTTGGTTCCTCCGTGGATCGAGAAACAACAGGAGCTGGCGAGGGAGGTTGATCGGTTTCGTCAGCGCTTAAGAACAGAATGGAGACGGCAAGCGGCTAGATTGATTGCGAGTGAAGGAGGATCCCTAGAAGCTCAGATGAGGCGTGCTCAGGCTTATGCCGCTGCGGAAGCTCGTTTGGCAGAGAAAATCCAGATAGAGCGATCGTTCCAAGAGCTTTATAATGTCGAGTCGTCCGCAACGAACCCGAACAATGACAAAAACATAGCTGCTATGTCACCGGAAGTCGAAACCAAGGAGAACCCCCGGCTGCCATATGTTTCGCCATTACGTGACCCCCAGTATCTTTCAACAGAGCGCTCTTTTTATGAGCTAGCAGTTAAGAATCTCAATAATCTCACTCGTTCTTACAACCTGCAAGCACCACCCGTTGCCCAGAAGCCGTACATCAATCTGGAACGTGAATTATCTACGTGCTACGCCGATGTAGCCCCAACTTTAGCCGAGGAGATTAAACGGCGCGCGACGGAGAGGACCAGCCGTCCTAAGTCTGTGGGATCTAAAGCGTCCGGTATTATCGAGTCCTTAAGCACATCAGCTACCACACGAGTTTATGAGGAGGATAAAACTAAAGGATATGGATTCAAGGAATTCTGGCGGGACCTATTTTCGAAGAAAGATTAGTGGCTGGGTAACCATGTGTAGATATGCGTGATGTATATATTGTATGATATTGCCATGTACGATGGTGCTTTTTGTCTAGTAAGCGTCATGAACCCAGACCGTCCCAGAGACACTTCCTTAAATTAGAAGATAATGGGCCTCTCCGTCGCTAGACGCTAGCACTACACGGCTGAAAAGCGGCTCGTTTGAGTTTGGTCTCCTTTAGGTTGTGATAAGATGTGATGTGATGTACCTATGGTAGCCTCTGACGGTATACTATCTATTGTATGCGGTTCTGGCTCCTTCGGGGTGACAGGGGAGCCCTAGGACTAGTAAGAAGCTGCAGACGCAACCTAAGCTTATCGAGCCCCTCTGAAACAGAAATAAATGATGTAGTACACAGTAGGTAGGGGACAGGATCTAGCCAATCACAGTGAGCAGTACGGTCCTTAAATTTGCCCTAAGTGTGCAAGTGATACTACTAGGTATATGGATATGTAGGGTGTAAGAACGGATGTGGTAATATAGAGAACGTTCCAATCACCACACCAATCCTGAAGATATACGAAGCACTTCAATCCTATTTGTGCTAAGACCCCGAAAATCAAAACTAACGCCAGAAATCGAGGTCTGGCAAGCCAGTGGTCCAGTAATTGGAGTGTGATCGGATGTGCAGATGGGCGCGTAACTTGCACCAATAGAGCCACAGAACGGGAGGATCTCCATCGCACTTCAACCTTCTCCATGGTTGGCGCTTCACACTATCACATCCAATCACTCAATACCCATCTTTCCATATGTCGCTCATACCCCCCTTCTTCTTTCAGGATGTGTGTCACTCAGTCTCTTTCTGTAAGGGATTTGCGGTCTCCTTTGCGATCCGCCATTATGTTTAATAAAGATACTTAATCACTAGGTTTGTTATCTGGGGCCCACGAACGAGCAATGTTGCCGGTTCACATAATCCTTGCTGGTCTACTATCTCCTGTGGTTACTGCTGGATCAGTATCCCAGGAACCGTCCAATTTCCTGATTTATATTCCGAACCTGAGCCGTCGGGCTGACGGTCACCCCACTACTTATACCTTGGATCAGTCTCTCCTCGCCATCCAAATCGGTGGGATTGTAGGAGCGTACGTGATCTTTGTCGCGATCCTCCTAACATTGCTCCTCTTTGTAGGGCGTCGTTTAAGAAGGACAGTGCAATCGTCCAACTTCACGTTGCAAGTAGAAATGATGAAGCCTGCGAAGCCTCCACCCAGTATGGATCCAAGTCCAGTCACCCCAATCTCCGCCAATCTCCCCAGCCCGAGTATGCCAAACGGTTTCAATCGATCCTGGAGCAGCTTGGGTAAGGGCCCGCGGTCTCATATAGCCAATAACAGCAGCGTGTCTACTATCGACGAGTCGGTGGTTGCATTGGACCGGCGCAGAGCGCAAGAAGAAATGGAAATGCTGTACGCCGCTGTTATGGAACACGATGAGCGGAGGGCAGCTGAGAAGGAGGCTACCCGGGAAGAGAGTGAAATTCATTCTCCGGATAGTGCTCAAACGAACCCGTTCACGGACCGTTCATCGAGACTGTCAGAAGCCCCACCACCACCTCCTCCCCCTCAAGCGAAGATGCCAACGAGCCCGAGGGCCAGTTCTCGCCTGTCCAGACTCTCGTCACTCTCTCTTTTCAATAGCAACCCTCGCTCTGAGGCAAACACCGGCAAGCCGCATACTCCCCGTACTCCCCGTACCCCTCGCATTCCTCTTCGGAAACTACCAATCTCCTCACCGATGGCCTCTCCGGACGTGACGGCGTCCAGATCGTATGGAGAGGATCAGCCTCCTCTGACACCGCGATTTTACAACCCACCGCCTCCCCCAACACCGCCAGTGGCGACAATCCAAAGCCCAAGCGAGAAGAGGGTGTCAAAAGGTTCGCGGGCGCCAGCCCCGGCGCCCTTGAGCATGTCCGTGGCTGGCCACGGCTCATCTTCCTTGCCCTTCCGTGATGCCTACCCGCAGCAAAGTGCGCCTGCTACCAAGACCACCGTCCTGGAGCGCCCCTTGAAACCCATGAATGGTCCTCGGACTGGGATGCCCACGCCATACAGTCCGTATATGCCATTTACACCAGTAACTCCGCTTACACCCAGTCGGATGGTGACCAAACGGCAAAGGAAACGAGAAGCCAAGGAAAGCGGACTACGGGTTCTTAATGAGGATGATGTAGTCCGGGATAATGAAGATATGTGGGGGTTATAGCGAGTCAGGATATTTTGATTGGTTTTTCGCTTTTGCCTTTATTTTCTTGGCTTGGATGTTTTCTTTTTTTCTTTTTTTCTTTTTCGTTCGAAGTCTCTTCCGATGTTATGGCAAAAAAATCCAGTACGATTAGATATGGCGATAGGGGGGATATTTGTAGAGAGTCATACCCAAACACAGAACTCAAATGAATGAATAACATGACAAGATTAATGTGAGGCACTGATGGGGTCTCGTCTCCGCTCCGCTTTCATTATTCGCCCAGCCAAAGTCTTGACTGTCGTCATCACGGTCCTTAACGCCGACTCTCCGACCCTCTCAGGACCTCTTCATTCGATACGATCCTGATGCCAAGGTTGGTAGAAGCAATGGGTTGCTTTTCTTTGCTACTTCTTTGCTATTTCTTTGCTAATGGTCCGCGCGGGTCTTTATATATAGTAAGTATGTTTTAATATTATCTCCGCCACCTCCGTGAGTCTAGGCTAGTTCCATTTTGGAGGGCAGGTGAAATTGTTGAATGTCCGTTCGCAGCCATCAGACCTTATCAGTCCGCCCGCCCACCATAACTCGGTCCCTCCTCCTCATTCAACCGTGGTTCAATCAACTTCCTTTCCTTACAACAATAGCTTTTTTTTCTCTTCTCTCCATGTTCACAATAGTTTTGTAATTTGTGGAGACAAAGAATATAGAAGAATAGCATACTACATACACTCTACCCTCATGCCGTTGACCATCCTCTCTCAGGCACAGCTCCGCTCCCTGCTGTTGTCGCTGACCCGCGATGAGATTATATCGCTGCAACAAAACCTAGCGCAGGCGTTGCGAGAATACTCGACGGGAAACCAGGAACAGGGCTGCTCCGCTACCTATCAACCCCTGAGAACTGCAATCACCCGCAAGAATGGCTCCACAACGCTGTTTATGCCCGCCAGTACCGGCCGCACTATCGGCATGAAAATGATCTCGCTCCAGGATGGGGACACCGCGGGGTGTGCCGTAGAAACCGGGTTGGATATACCCGAGGGTGAGAAGACATCGTCACGGAGTCGGCACAGGTCGAGGACCTCCATGAGCTCGCTGTCATCCGACATGAGTGACTTAACCGTCTCATCGCAGGACGACGAAAGCTCGTCGGTCAGCTCCAGCAGCAAGTCGTTGCCGCCGGGATGTGTGAACAAACAGCCGGTCAACCCTGGGTTGTCCAACACCATGGGAGCATGGCCCTCAGCTGGTTCCCGAGACACCTCCCCGCAGGGCAGCGTGACATTGCTTGACGAGCACAGCATGCCATTTGGGTTGATCAATGCGCACGAGCTCACCCCATTCCGCACTGCACTAACATCTACCATGATCTTCAACAGGCGCAAGCGAGTGCGCACAGTGGTAGTCTTTGGGGCAGGCAAGCAGGCTTACTGGCACATACGACTGGCACTAACACTGCGGGGATCGGAAATCAAACGGGTCTTCATCATCAATAGATCTTTCGATCGGGCAGCGGAACTTCTGCAAGACATCTATTCACCAGAGAACTCTAGTTGGCGGGGCGACGTGAAGTTTTCGGCTGTCAGCAGCGACTTCGTCGAGTTCTCCCGCATCTTGCAGGACGCCCTGAACAAAGCCGATGCGATCTTCTGCTGCACTCCATCCATTCAACCACTCTTTCCTGGGGAGATACTCACGTCACACGAAGCCCGCCGGAAAGGTCGACTGATCAGCGCCATTGGTTCGTATAAGCCACACATGACGGAGTTGCCCCCAGAAATCATACGGGACGAAGTCAAGGCACACGGTTCACATCGGCATTTCCACAAACACGTCAAGCGTAGCGGGGTTGTGGTTGTGGACAGTCTTGAGGCGGCTCTGAAGGAGGCCGGAGAGCTGATTCAAGCCGAGATCAAGCCGAATCAGGTTGTCGAGCTGGGCGAGCTGTTGATGGTGCGCTGTGCTGCCCAAGATATGGACCAAGAGACCGACGATGGGAAGAGCTTACGCGAGTGGGCTGAGCGAGGCAATGTGATTTTCAAAAGCGTGGGGTTGGGATTGATGGACTTAGTCACCGGCGGTGATCTCATTCAGCTGGCGCGGCAGCGGAATATTGGGACTCTGGTGGAAGAATTCTGATTTCTTTCTTTCTTT